CAGCCGACGGATAAAAAATACGGAAAATCTTATTTTCTGTGCGTGAAATCGGAGAAAATAGCTAAAATAAGTAAAAATGCGGAAGGGTTAGCAGCTAGGGCGTAGATTGAATTTTCTGTTTATCTTTGAAAATCGTAAATAAATATAATTATTTTACTTCATTGACTGAATTTAAAAAAAACGGGATATTTATTTAAAAAAACGAAACTTTTAGAGAATCGGAGTTTTTGATAAAAAGGCTGAAATTCGAGAGACAAAAAAAAATCTCATCCCTGTATAAAGGTCAACCAGTTTTATCCCAAGGAAATGATTTTTAGAGAAACTTCAGAGGGAGGAAAAGGGACTTCAACAACTTCCCTCCGCGGAAAATTAAATTCCTTATAAAACATTTTAACTTGGGCAAAAAAAAATTTCAGCGGAAATTAGCGGGAAAAATGGAAAAATCTGAAAAAAAAAAGCGGAAATCCGCGGAAGAATCTCATCCCTGTAAAATATACTTCTTTGGGTGGATAATTACCTATGGACAAATGAATTTTTTTATGGTGAGCAAAAAATGTTCAATTCGCTTAAAAAATTCTCAAGAAATGGTGAAAAAATAGATAAATACAAAAAATCGAACATTTAGGGGTCCATATTTCCCACACTGCTGCTATCCCCTTCATTTTTGAGATCAGTCGGGGGAAAAGATATGTTTAGTCAGAAAAAGTACGTTTTTGAGTCAGCGTATTTGAGGTCACTCCATCGAACCATTCATTAAGATTGAATTTTAGAACGTGAAGATCCGATCATTAGATGAAGAGTTATCCAGGGTGGTCCGTTAACTTTTGTTTTGCACACTGTATAGATTTAAATGACGTTTTAAAAGTATTTTGTATTCAATATATCAGAGTTTTGTTAATTATTTTAAAAAATGAAAAATTGCTGTTTGTTGTAACACAATTTGTAGATTCACTGGCCCATAAATGAATGCACTCATTGTTAATATGCATATTCACCCATCTTTAAGTCCTTGTTGAGAGAAGAGGTTAAACGCCGTCTTTACGAAAGGATCTTACTTTTTATGAAGTCTAAGCTAAGAATAAACGACATTGCATTTTAAAATAAATATATTCTATTAAGTAAGCATTTTATTTTTCTTTACAAATATTTATGGATTATCATACAAACACCAAGAGTAGTTTATCACCAACTTAAAAGGGGCAACTATTTTTTCAACATTCCAATGAAAATTTTAGGTACTTGAACGAGGTCTTCATAACTGTTTAGTTTGACATTCATACCTTTTAATTTGTTGTACCTTTATGTTTATTTAATTTAATTAACTTCCATGGTCTTGAAAATTTTAGCATTGCAATTGGTTAGCATCTCAATTTTTTTTTAAAAAAATTATGCATAGTTTACCCTGCCTGTCATATTAAGACAGCCCTGAAAAGTAGCTTTTTTCTGCTGCACTTTCCATCTGTATTAAAACTTTTTTTGCGAAGAACTTCAATTATAAAGATAATTAACTTAAGAATATATAATTAAAAACCTATAAATATATTTTTCAAGCAAATTTTTAAAAGAGAAAAATTAATAGTTTAGAAAATCTGTGGGCGATCGCCTGACATCATTGGAGGCAAAGTAAAATCATGGTAATCGCAAATGAGATTTCAGCAAAATTGAATCTTCACTAGAGCCCCAAAAAATGGCATTCATTCACCAGCTCCAACCTCTTCATCTCAGTCATTCAAACATTGAAGCTAGTTAACATATTTAAAAACTGCTGTTTTCCCAGCAAAATGTCTCAAACTCCAAAAAAGAGAGAAATTGTTGCACATGAAAATTGCGAAATAATTATTTTTGTGGTACGATCGCCAAACTTGTTCTTCACACACCAAAAATAGCGAAACAGTATTTTTTTGGATACCACGTGATGAAGGCGGAGCAAACTCTTGATGAACAAACTATACCTGAGAATCTTTATAAGTTTGTTTTCCGAATTCTATTCCTCCCGCAGCCCCCTATTGCTGACCGAAGTCTTGGTTTCACATGTAACATAATTTTTTTTTTTAAAGTGGCACAGTATAGAAAAAAAAACATTAAATGAGAGATAAAAAATTTACAGGTAAACAATTTCTTTTATGAATTTTATTGTAACTTTTAAACTATTCAAACCATGTAGTTAAAATTGAATTTTTGATTGCCATTCTGTAAGGTTCAAACAATTTGGACTAATACTAAATAATAATTCGGTTAATGTATAGAGGGAGGAAGAGAGGTACTTTCGCGGTCACTGCCTAGTGTTAAAAAGGAAGAAAGTATTCAGAACAGAAATGCGTGTAATCATTGAAAACAGAACACTTTATTATAAAACAAGTTCAACAATAATCACATTGCAATAATTCCATAACAGATATTTGGTAAATAGTGAACTTTAAATAACAACATTCTTTTCTTTTTATTACAAGAATCTTAAATAAAATGGTGTCAATTACAATTTTAAAATGGTTGCAAAAAGCAGTCACATAATCTATCGAGAGATTAGAAATGCACTGGGTAATGACTAAATCAAGATATTGTACAATATTCACGTTCTAAGAATTATTCCCTTAAAAAGATAATAAAGTACTGTCGAAGTAACCTGAAAAGTATGCAATTAATATTAAAGATCCTGTGTTTCATTTATGCGTGTATAATCTGAATGTCTTTAGTGCTCATTACAGAATTTCTAAAAGGTTTGAAGAGGTAGATCAGTACTATAAAATAATGCTTTTCGTTATTTAATCAGTGCTAATACAATTTTTGTTGCTTTTAAACGAACCTAACAGGAAAGTTAGCCCTGAGTAGGATGATAAAATTTTATTCTTTGAAGATTGCTATAATTTTAGTCAAATAGTATTTCAAAGTTTTTATCAAATTTGGCTAGGGGTGTCCTGAACTAATATTTATTTTTGGGTGGGGGGAAATTTGATCGAATTTTAAATAAAGAGTCATATGCTTCAATAAAAACAATTTAATTAGTTTAATATTTTCACAATATGTTAATTTTGCCACCAATGTATTACTGCTTCAATTAATTAATTAATCAGTGGTTAAGACACTGAACTGTTATTGTGAAAATTCAGGTCCCCTGCTTCCGTCTCACAATTGTGGAACCTCCTCTATCTAACAATGGGCTGTTGGGAGGGATTTTACTTTTAGTCAAAGAAATTTGCTGCTAAAATTAAGAAATGATTTTTCACCATCTCAAAAATCGAATAATAAATTATTAGGTAATCGAATACTGAATAGAAATAAATTATCCTGAAAAGTGTCCACTTTTTGTGATTCAATTTTAAATAGACTTTTTTTTTTTTTACACAGTGGGGTAAATACAGTGAATAATCAAATTCTACCAGAAATAAAATAAAATTATAAGTGTTTAAAAAATAATTCCCTTAAATGAGTAAAACCTTCGAAAGGTAATCTGATGAAATGTCATATAAAGGAAAAAAAGGAGTCTTACTTTTTATAAATACAGCGTATCTGCTACATTTTAGATTTCCAAATTCATGACTTTCCAAGAATTTTTTTGTACTTAACGAAGTTACTATTTTCTCCAACAATAAATTTAAAAAAAGCATTATAATAACATGAATTGAAATGATAGGTATAACCAAAACTGTTATACACTGCATCTTCATATTTATAGATTTTAAATTTAAAAAACAGAGTCAAGAAAGAGTTGAAGCAATAAAATACAGAAACAAATAATTTCTTTTTTTCTGCAGAATTATATTCTAAAGATACTTTTCATCTTCATCGGAAAGGAAAGAAATACACCCTATTTTTTTCTGTTCTCAATTTCAGGGGTGATTGTGAGCCCAAGTCAAAATTCCGGAAAATTTCTGGGGTTCAAACTGTGCTTTTAAGCTCCATCTTTGAAAATTTGATTTCCGGAAACTTCTGTGATCAATCATTTTTTTAAGCGTGTGGACCTTTGATCTCCGGATCACTGTTAGTGAAAATTCCGGAAATCCGGAGCACAATCAGCCTTGCAATTTGGAATACAAAAATTTTGCCTATGACTGGCTTGCTTCAGCTAGAATTTGAAATTGATTGAATTTTAAACTAAAATAAAAAAATTAAGTAAATAAATAACAAAAATTCTGAAATCACAGAAGTTTAGAAAGATAATTCGTTCTAAAAATATTTTTTCTTTCATTTTTTGAAGGGACATGATAATTTTTAAAGAACATGATAAAAATATTTTAAAATACACCATGAAATGGGGGAATTCCATTTTAAAAATTAAGATTTTTCGGAAATCCATCCATGACTTTGCAGGTGCACAGATACCCTATAAATAGCATTGAAAGAGCAAACATTATAAATTTTCTTAAATAAATATATTCTCACACTTTCCTATAAATAGTGATTGATTATCATGCAAACAACAGTATAATTTGAATAAGCAGGAAAACTTTTAAACTAAAATCCAATATGTGCATTGAAAAATGTTTTTATAACTGACTTTAATCCATACATTTTGAATTTGTTATACCCTCATGTTTTTTTTTAAATTTAATTTGCTTCTTGGTTTTGAAAAATATTTTATTATTTGAGGATGGCAACTGGTTAGCATTGCAATTTTTTTTTTTAAAAAAGAGAGTTTAAAATTTCTTTATTTTATGTGCAGTGTGTTTTTGGGACGATAAAAATATGTCTTAAAATTACTGCATACCTTAAAAATGCTTTATTTTATGAAGTATTTTTAGTCTGATTTTAAATATCATGACATGTTATAGGGCTCCCTGATCTTCAGATCGATGGATATATATGCAAGCAGTTCCATAAACGGCACACAAAGGGCAGTCAATAAAATAAATCATTTGATAAATAAATTCATTTGCAGCTCTCGTTGAATACTGGATAGAAGTAAAATAGGTATTCTAAAAATCGTTCTTTAAAATGAAAATATAGTTTCAGTAGTTAAAAAGTGAACTATTATAAAGTGACTGAATTTTTCTAATTAACATATGCAATAGTTAATAATAAATAAAATCAAACCAGCATGTCAACAGATGAAATATAATTGATTATTTTAAAATTAGTATTGATAATTTCAATTAATTTTGAACTTTTGAAGGGCCTCTCACCCATTTATAATCACAAGAGGGCTCGCTAAACTCCTATTTAGGGATTCTTTTCTTCTAAGTTTTACTTAATGTCCTGATAAAAGGATTAATTACTCTAGATACATACGTTGTTCATAATAATATTTGTGCTTTCAAAATAAAATAAAATAATTTGCAGAATAGCTCAACCGGTGATCACTTCAGCTGAGCATTCTATTCTCATAGTTACTAAGTTTTTTCAGCTGCAAAAATATCTTCCTTTTAACACAAAAAATTTCATCTATTTTCTTTTATAACCGATTGTATTAAGAGTTTACAGCTATCAATCTAGTATATTTTTAACCCAATCCCGAAGACAAGGTAACTCCTGGGTCAAACATTGGGCCATAATGAAACAAATTGTGTTACATGGAGAGAAAAGCCATGACAGTATTGAAGATTGGTAACTATGGCTATGTTAAGGAACCTTGTAGGGATTCATTTCTTTTTACACGGAAGCCATTTCACTGTATCATCAAAAAACTAAATCTTATGAAGACATTCTTCAGTTTTAGCCATATTATGGTAGATTTTATAGGGGTATAATGATCAGCCATTCCCAACCTTTTACCAGCAGGTTAACGAATTCAACTTGCAGATAATTGTACTTTATGCAAGAGTTATATTATTGTAGTGCTATGATACTCTCTCACAAGAATTTTATCTTTCATAGGATACCACTACTCAATTTGTTGCTGCTTCGCGAGAAGCCGGGTATTGAGAACACTAGACTTTGAGTGCTGATCATCGAGTTAACGATCGTGGTCGCTCCCGTGTTGCCATCAGCAGTCCATTGTATGTAGGCCAGCATCGTGTGCGATTGAGACTGAGTAGCAACGGAGCACAGACAATGTCGAAGTCACAAGCAGCGAGTCAACATGGACCATCCCTCAAAGTGAGCGTGTTCACATCAGGTTCCAATGTCAACCTTGACACAGAATAGAGTCAACATGCCTTATATACTAGTGAATTTGAGTTGAATAATTGTAGTGGTTACATATTTGAACGTATAAACCCAATTTCAGTGCGAGGTACAGAAATCAAATATTCTGAAATGTTTCATTGCATTTCCTTCATAGGTAGGAAAAATAATTTCTTTATCAAAACTTTTGATTGTTTTTCCGGGCAAGTATCTGTGAGAAAGAAATATATATACTATTTATGAACAACATAAATAAATAATGCACTTTAGTCTCTACTACATTCAAACACATAATTATATTAAACTATACTTTTCTAATCAGCTATAATGAACAGCAACTAATGTAATAATTAGATAAAATTTATTTTATGAACATTGTTATAATCTTGACAAAATGAAAAACAAACTCATTTGGCACAAAATAAAAAGAGAGAATATTATACAAAGCAATTTTTTTTTTCATTCTGACTGAACAAAAAAAAATGAGTTACACTTTCAGCAAAGTATCCTTTTGAATGCAAAGTATTTTCAGTAGAAATGGGTAAGTACTAATTTTTAAGCTGATCATCAAATACAGTACATTTAATATCTAGAATAATACTAGATTCAATAAAAAATACTAGAATACATTTAATAGTAGATTTAATAAAAAATAATAAGTAATAATTATAATTTTTATGTTTATTAAATCTAGTTTTAATGAATTTTTATTTGCTTAAAATGCAGATTATGTCCTTTCAATAAAATGGCAACTGGATTAAGTCAAATGCAAAATTACAAATATTTTTTTTTAAATAACTTAACAAGGCATTCATTATGGATACTTATAATCAAATTATAAAAATAAAATAAATCCACATATATTGAAGACGAATAAACAAACTAAATATAATACAATGCAAAATATTTCAATAGTTTTTTTTTTTGGTAATTCAATTAGCTGTTCAAAGAATATAAAAACTTCAGTTAATGATCAAAAATTTGACAAATCAAATCAATTATTCCCTTTTTTACAAAATTTAAATGATTTAAATAAAAAAGATGTTTTTCATCAATTCAACACATGAAGCGCAGCAAATCTTAATATTCATCAAAATATTTAAAAAAACGATTTCATCCTGAAACTATAAAGAATGCAGACCATAAAAATATTTTAATTCATTTTAAAATAAGTATTTGTATTAATTTCCTTATAATTTTGGTGGGTATAAAAAAGTTTTAAAATGTACTATGACTAATCAGATACATCATGACAATAGTCAAATCCCGTTGCAGCGAAATCCAAAATAACGAAAATTTGAATGTAACGAATATTTTCCAAATTACCAAATGAATCTACTCCCCAAATGAATAATATTTCAAAAATGATTTATTTTATGTATGTGAAGTTTTTTAGTTCGTTTTTAAACATTTTAGTGTGCTATAGGGGGTCTAAACATTCTGTGTCAGGGCGGCTGCTTGCTATTAAGGCGGCCCTGATATCCTTTTTTCAGAAGCTTTTTTTAATGGTAGCAAGATTCCTAACCTGATAGAATAAATATGATTTAAAATGATTTTGATCACCATAATTTCCATATTAATACTTATTTGCCTGATAATCAGGAAATATGTTAAAAGATGGTATAATTAAAAAAAAAAAAATTCTTACTTAAATTGTTAACACTGAAGTAACAGGCTGATAGGAGATAAAAACTATACAGGGTTGTCACTCTAATCTGGGGGGAAAATTCCCTGTGTTTTCCTTGTACATATTATACACGATATATTAAGAGGAAACAGACAATCCCCGTGCTCTTGTCTGAGCTATATTAGGCTAACTATACTAGTTTAAATTGCAGAAAGAACTTAAATTCCCTGTATTTTCCCAGTTTGCTAGGAAAAAGTCAAAATTCTCTGTATTTTCCATGTTTTCCCTTTGAAGTGGCAACCCTGTTTTAATGAACGACTTGACACATAATTATTCAATTCTTATTCTCTTTGAGAATACAATTTTAAAAAAATATTCAAGTTATAGTGATTCAAAATAACTAAAAAGAAATTATTTCACGCTATTTTAAGAATGCTAATCATTTAAAAATTATTAAAAATGTAATTTTTAATAATTCTTTAATACAAAAAACCATTAGGATCTAAACATTTTTGTTTAAAAAAAAAAAAAAGATTTTTACTTTATTATTTTATTTGGAAGAGAACAAATGGCTTTTTTTTTTTTTAAATTTTCTGTCATGAGTATATATATATATATTTCACGACAAATATTTAAATTTTAACAAAAAGGAATTTTTCCTCAGAATTTTCTAAATTTCTATAATCATTGATAGGAGAAAAAATTAAATGCTTAAAAAATGTTCATTCTTTGAAGCACTTCAAATAGATTATTTATAACAAACAGTACAAAAGCTGCATACAACAGTGTTATGATTTCAAGTATAAGAAAATATTTCTTTACACAAAAAAAAAAATTAATGTGTTGCATAGATATGTGTTGCATCAATAGTAAACCATATTATTTCAACTACTCTTGTTGAATCTCACTTGAATTTGAGCTCTCATCAGATAATCTCTCTGGAACTCCACAACACAAATACTGAAATGAAAATACATCCTTAATAAAATACTTATTTACTTCCAAACAAAATATGAAAATCATAGCTGACAGCATGGATAGGAAAAAATCCAGTAGATATTATGAAATAATATAAATTTCATGATAATTGTTGTATGATGTACTAAATATTTTACACATAAGGAATTTTAGGGATTTTTATAGTCATCAAAATAGAAAAAACTGCAATATTTTCCAGTTATAATTGACATTAAACATATTTGAAATGTTATGTATTATGTTCACTCCTAATTTTGAATATTAATAGGCATTTAATTCATCAAATATAGTTACGATTTTTTTTAAATTAATTTTAAAAGAGAGTTCTAAATAAAAAATAAACTGAACATTTTAGGAGCAAGAAAATTTTTGAGTAGATTTCCATAAATGATATTCACTTCGTTATGTATAAGTAACACTTTTTCAAGCAAGCAATAATCTGTACAAAAAATTCTATTCCAATAGGAGTTTTTTTAGTCACTCAGTTTTAGGAGTAAGTTTCTAAAATGTACAAAAACCAGGAGAAATTTGATTAAAGCAGAAGAAACTGACAGTAGAGTTGGCAGCTATGTAAAATTCTGCTGCTATTAAAGTGGGAAATGAAAGGGTGAAAATACCTATCAATTCAAATCATGGAAAAATATATAAAAAAAAGTGTGTGAAATTATTTTGAAGACAAAGAAAACATTTAAACTAAATACATTCTTATTTTAAAAAAATTTTAACTATGTGTAAATATGCATATTTTTATATATTTTACATGTTCTTCTAAAGTTCAGAAAGTCAGAAGAATCTCCTTGTAACTTATATATTAACCAAAATTAGAAGTATTAATTTGAATAATATCAAAATTATAAGTGTTTAATTTTTAAAAATTCTTCAACAATGCAAGTTGTCAAAAAGAAGGAAACTCCGTGCAGAGGTGATTCATTAAAAATAACTCTAATTTTAACTGGGAAAAAGTGTACATAGTAGGCATATATATTAATTAATTGTGTTCAACTTTTGCTTAAAGAAAATAATACATTCATTATAATTTTCATAAATGAGAAATTGTATATTAAATTTGTTATAAAAATTATGTATATTAGTTTCAACTCAAATTAAGTAAAAAATAAAAGAAAACAATGAAAGCAATTAATAATTTACTTAATTCTTCAATATAGGCAAATTTGATGCGCAAATTACTTTTTCAATTTTTACGAACAAATTACTTTTGATAATTTTTCCAAATTTATTGATTAACTATCTTAATAAATTAAGGCCATGAATAAAATGGTTTTTAAGTTTGATGCGCACAAAGAAATTCACATACAATGGGTGGACAAAAAGTTACTTTATATTTTTCTCTAATTTTGATACTTTTTCAATTAAAAATAAAATTACATTAAAAATATAAAAAATGGAGAAAAAAAATTAGGAAAGAATTTATCATGAACACGCAACAGTGTGTCAATAAAACTTCAAGAAATTACCAACAAACAAGATAAAATTTTAAAAATGGTGGCAACTTATAGGGAAGTAAGCAAATCGAGAGAAGCCTTTTGGCGTAACATTGATGATAAAAAGAAATATTGCAAAACAAAATAATAACTTACTTCACCCATAACTGCAATGCTAGTAGTTCCAGTTGCTCTGGCAATGCAATGTTCAATTACATAAAACATGAATTCATCATATAATAGTCTAAGAAGATGAAAAGACCCAAAGCTAGCAGCACTCCGAAGGGTCAAATCTCTAATAACAAGAGAGCTAGGGGGAAAACAAATTGTGAGAATTGTTTTATTCAATACTGGATATTATGTAAAGTTGTTATTTTTTCCTGTAATTGTGACTTCATGAAAACCAAATCAAACAGGGTTGCCATTGAAATGTAGAAAAAAAATTCCCCGTGCATATTGAACACAATATATTAAGAGGAAACAAACAATCACTCTTGTCTGAGCTCTATTAGGCTAACTATTCAAGTTCTAATTGCTGAAAGAACTTAAATTCCCTGTATTTTCCCAGTTTGTTATGCAGAACATCTATTTTTCAATTGATGTCTGTTTTTAAAATGAAACATACTGTAAAGAATAATGAAAAGAGAAGAAAAATTATTAAAATAAATTACTTAAAAAATATATAAAAAATCCAGGAAACAAAAAAAAAAAAAAAAGAGAGAGAGAGAGAAAAGATATAATCTCTTCCTTAGCTCACACCACAAAGAGGAGTGCCTTTTAATAGTGTGTCAATATAGCCAAAGCATATGTATATAATCCTCAGGTGCTTTTGTCGGCCGCAGGTTGGGCACCACTATCTAATTGTGTATTATTTCGGGAACATGCGCTCTGCACGTCACCGCGGGGGTGTTATTAAAAAATATTTGATTTCACTAGAACAGAGAAACTTATCAGTAAAATGGTCTTTGATGAAAGTTGGTTGTTCTTTCCTTCATGGACTTTTATCAAAGGTAGATGATTTTTTTGCAAGCAATTTTAATTTAACTCAGTGTCGTTTTCTTGAGGCGGAAAGACCACTTCTGTTGGCGCCATGAAAACCGGATTGTTGAATAAAATTTAGCATCCATAAAAATGACCTTTACTGATATAATTATGTGTAAAAACAATTTTTCCAATTCCACAGAATGTTGGGATTATTTTAAATAAATAAACAAGAATGTTTTTTGCTTCAGTTTGCATTTAATTTTGCAATTTAAGCTTTAAAAAATAAGAAGATGGCTTGTTCGTTTGAGATGCTTAGTTTTTTCTAAAATAACGCTTTTTTTTCTCATTTAATTACCTCTAAAGAATAACTCAGCGATTGTGTCGCCTTTAGAGCCCTTCTATTGCATGGTGGATCCCTTTTAGAGATTGTCAAAAACTCACAAATATTTTGAATACATTTTAATCTACTTAGTTGTTCTGTTTTAGCATTTGACCATTTAGTGCAATGAAATTGAACTGTGGATCATTGTTCGTTAATTTTGCAGTTTGAGGCTTATCTTGTCTGAATTCACATTCAGAAAGCACTCATTTCTTACTGAACTGAATAAAAGGTTGGCATATTGTATATTTGGTAAAGCAGTTTTTATAACCGTCGCTTAACAAGGTTTACAACTACTCATTTTCTTGTCATTTTGAACCCAATCCAGAAGAACTCCTGGATCAAGCATTCAAAGAAATTTGCTTTTGTGGAGGTCTTTTTGATGGAACTAACCCCCACTTGGGTTAAATGGAGAGGAAGACCCTGAAAACCACCCACAGTTAGCCTGACGGCAAAGGGACTTCAACCAATGATCCATCTACCACTGAGGATATTTTTAAGTCAGCACTGTCGTGGGTGCAGGAATTCATATCGACCAGCCATCGCTAGGATTCAAACCCGTTTCACATTTATTGGGAGGCAAAGCAGTTTAAATATATGCTTACCTATAAAATGACCATTTGAGAAGAAATTGTCGAGCAGCCTTAGGATAGGATGGTTTCCCTTCGTATGGTTCAAGAGTTCTGTGAACAATGTTTTCTAACCATGTTGCCCACTCTTCCAGCCACATATTATGCTGCAGAGTTTCTCTGAATTCAAATAATATTTGTTTGACGACTTCATCTTCGCACTGGCAAACCCAAGATGCTTGCTCCTGAAAATGTTTTATTCTACATATTAACAAGACAACAAAATTCCCTTTATTTAAATCAGTTTATGGTTAATATAAAAAGAATAAATTATAAATGACAAAGAAAATAATTGAGTCCCTTTTATTCAAATCAATTAATTGTTAAAAAACAAGATTAAGTAATAAAATAGAAAAATCACAGGTACATTATCAAAATCCTTTTTATTTAAATCAGTTTAATGATAAAACTGAATTATAAGAAACAAATAGTTTATTATGAATCACTGTTAATATAATCACCTGTATATTACGAAAATCCACTTTATTCAAATCGGAGGTCATTTGTTTGATCTGAGATGCACTTTGTAATACAGCCCTTGCAGCTTGAGCCAGGTGATTTAAGGAAGTGTAACGCCTTAAAGTTTGAGCGAAGGCACTTATGGCACTGAGCTATAATAACAAAAGAATTCTGTATTGGTTTTCTGGAATGTATATTATTCTGTTTTCACACTCCCTTAACGTATAAATTAAGTAATTATTCACGAAGACATTTCTCTCTAAACACAAGAGAAAGAATAAGAAGAGTTCTCTTGGTTTCATCTCTGAAACTAAATCAAAAAGCATAGTAATAACTAATATAAAAGATAATTTTTGGGCAAAAAATTATTTCTTATTAAGGGTCCCATTAGTATGCAAATTTTTACATTAAGCTTAATTATCTTATCTCATAAACAAAATAAAAATTAGGAAGAGAATGGATAAATACTAATTTAGGTTCACTCCAATTATGCATGAAAATGATTTATAATTCAGACTTTTTTTTAAATAAGACGAAAAAAGCAAATTTTATGATACCCAAACATAACTAAGAAGAGAAGAAGCATGAATGTATAAGGTGGAGGTTTTCATGCAGCAGTTTCGGGAACTTTAGTAACAGGTTTTGAAATTAAAAATAAATTTAAAAGAATTACTATATTAGCTCATTTCTCGTTTGTCCAGGGTGCGTAGCTAGATTTTTCAACAAAAAATAAGCACCTTTTAAGCACTCAAAAAATATTTTTAATCACTTTCCAAATTTCATAATTAGGATCTGTTCAGTAATAAAAATTATTTTTTCTATTGTTAAAATTTCTTAATTTATTAACATAAAATCAATAAAATTCCAAAACATTTTCTAAAACATTACTTAATCATATTAAAATAATTCATTCCTGATAAATATTGTAGAAAAAATTGCGAAAATTATGAATTTTTTGTAATTTAGAACGACAATCGACACGGCAAAGAAAAAAAAATCTCTTTTAAAAATATAGAAAATTAAGCACTTTTTACAAACCTCAAATGAAAATAAGGGGCCGTTCAAAAAGTACGTACATCCCGAAGGGGGGGAGGGGATTTGCTATTATGTACGGTTTTGTACGATGGGGAGGGGGGGAGGTATTATACAAAGTACGTACTTTATAAACATACACCAAATTTAAATTTGACTTTATCCTACACCCTCCTTAAGTAAATATTTAATTATATTTAAAACATAATTATTTTAATTTTTATGAAAAAGGGGGGTAGACTAATAAAATGTACGTACTCTAAGGGGGGGGAGTAAAACCTTATGTACGGTAATGTACGAAGGGGGGGGAGGGGTTTAAAATTTCTCCATTTTTGTGTACGTACTTTTTGAGCGGCCCCTAAGCACCTTTAAGGGTTTTTAAAAAACGTAAATCAAAAATAAGCACCTTTAAGCACTTTTCAAAAACGCTACGCACTCTGTTGTCAAAAATGTGCTAAATTAGTGTTATTGCAATAAAATTAGGTAACAGCAAGCCATTGAAATACCAAGCTATTGTTGAATAGTTATGAAACTATTCAACAATTTCACCATGAAAAATTTGCTATTTGATTATCAAATTACTATATTATTAATTTCCTGCAACTTATTAGCTATTTATAAATAATTTAGCCTGATAAATTACGCGTAATAATGCATTTAGTCTAAAAACATATTTCATTTTAATTTCATGCAATAGTTGTTAATTATTTTTAATGAGACGTGATCTATTTGTTATAAAAATATTTTGTATCCCTTTTGTTTAAATAAATTTATAACGTTGATCAGGGCAAATATCAGGTATTTCAGTCATTAAATTAAACTTAACACATTTTAGAAATCATCTCTCATTAATACTTTTAAGGAAGGCAAATCTCCAAATTAATATTGATTCGATTGACTTTCAGCAATTATCAACTTTATTCTCTATAATTATGTTTCTGAACAGTTGTGATAATTAAATTATAAAGGAGATGATTCATAAAAGAATTGTTACTCTTTATTCTCAGGCGTGTCACTCAGTGCGTATGGCGTGGTTACAAAACCTCATTGAATCTCATTTGAGATTAAAATTTGAAAGGTGCTGCAATAAGCTATTGTACCTCGAATCTTAGAATTACATCGCTGAGCACTTTTAAAAACTTTGATTTAGTATCAAACAACTTCTAGTGCAGACATTTGATTGCAGGCAGAAGTGCAGTTTTTTTTTATCTATATAAGACTTCTTTTTATGCACTAGAGTAAAATTGAATTTTTTGTTTCTTAATATTGTATGAAAATATATGTATTTTAAAAAGCCGTGTGGATATCAGTATCAATAACAGTGAAAAAGTCAATCGAAAAAACAGTAGTATTGTAATAAAGCAGGAATTGAATTTTGCTGTAGTAATAATATTGGAATTTTATAAACAATGAAAAATCAATTGCACTAACTGCAAAAGAAAGAAGGTTCAAACACAGATTTATAATGGCGCAATAAAAGGCGATAACTGAAATGTGAGATTTTCATGTAATATATTATTAAAAATTAATTCAATCCAATTAAAAAAGGTGCAAATATATCACATGGATAAGTAGTCTTTGAATAAAAACTGGAATTTGCAGCAAAATTACCACTCATTAAGCTTAGAAAAAAAAGAAAAAACTTGTTTTTTCCTGCAAACGATGTTTTAAATTTTATATTTTTGCATTTGCTCTAGTAGTTCATCATTCCAGATTAAAATTTAAATGCTTTAAAAACGGTGATGAGTTTCATTGTTTTTTTTTCTTGCAATTTAAAGCAGAGAAAGTCTTTTTTTTTTCAAATTTAGAAAAAATCCATAGATTTTGGAATCTATTGCCTTCAAGAATCTCTTAATCTTTTGGCGAATTGTGCTTATAAAATAGAGTAAAAATAAATATATTGATTTAGAACTTACTTTTATATTAAGAATATCTTCGCCACATTCTGTAATTGCACCTTTCAACCATCCTTCTAAGCTCTTAGCAAAGTTTCTTATAGCCTGAGTGAGAGTACCTATTTTACAAAGAAAATAAATTGTTTATCATTTAGAAAGGGGCTTACATTTAGAAAGGATCACTTTAAAGTAATTGACTTAAAAAGTGACAGACTATGTGCTAGGAAGATTTATTACATCTAGGTTTCTTTCTAGAAAAACAAAGTTCTTAATTTACAAAACTCTTGCCAGTCTTAACGTATGCTTCATGGACAATGAGAAAACTGGAGGAAAATTGCATCGCACTATTTGAGAGAAAGCGGAGTATACTTGGTGGTGTAAATGAAAACTGGGAGACTTAACTTTGAACTGCACAAGATTTATAAACACAACCTGATATTATTATATAAATAAAAATAAATAGAATGAATTGGATGGTCCACATGATTTAAATGAGTGATGGCAATACAATAAAAAAGATACTGCTTTTTAGACCCACTTGAGGCCAGAGTTGAGATAGACTGACTCATTGCAGTCTGATTTTCTGGAAATAAATGAAAATAATTGGAGATCAAAGATAAATCTGAAATCGTTATGGAGAAATCTTTAGAGGAAGGCATTGGCTCACATTGGGCTGTGTGGCCAACTATGATGATGAAAAGAACAGTTTCTCTCTCTTCGGCTACTCGTGTATTATTTAGAGATAAAAGTCGAAACACTTACTTGGAATAGGTCTTAAGACGTCAGGTATAAGAACATCGACTAGATTTTGATAGAACTGGTAATCAGTTTGCTTTATAAATTCTTTCACAGGTTCACATGACACCAACTCACGTAAGAAAGACTTGGACAAATCACTGCAAACAATGAAATTTGATTAGAAGTCCCCAATGATAGATCATTCATACGATATTAAAGAATTTAATTCCCAAAGTATTAAAACAAAATGTTTAAATATTATATTTGGAATAAAAGACGTATAATGTAAATATATGGTCAGATTACAAGTTATTTGCAATTTGGGTAAACAAGAAATAAATATTAATAAAAAAGTCAGCCATTTTTTAGGTTTTTCACAAACACACACACATGAAAAAACCTCATTTATAAGTAAGCCACAGTAATGTAGAAATATTAAAAAAAAGAGCAATTTCTGATAAATCCTAATTCCATATTATAACACAAGTACTGAAATGACGAATTTCCATATGAAAATATGTATTACATAATTAAAGAGCATGGGAAAAGGCTTGAAACAACAAAATACAAAAAGTCCAACAATTTTTAATACGCAACATTCCTTCTTTATTTACCTTAGAGGTGTTTTCATGTCTCATTTACTTTAGAGGCGTTCAGTAAAATGATGGGGCAGAGTGGTTGCAAAGGATATTTTTGTGTAATAGTAGAGCATATACAGTGGAACCCTGATTTTACCTTTTCCATCAGACGATCATATTTTTTGGCACCTACAAGATGAACTACTAGTTAAAATCTTTCCTCACCTTTGGTTTATAGATAAAATTTCAACAATATCCCTTTCAATAGTTTACGTTTTGGGATTGCATTTGCAAATAAATATTGTTTCAATGCTTCTGATCAACTTCACTGAAAAAGAAGCACAAAAATGATTCGAAACTATGTATTTACTCATCTTCAGAAATTGAAAGGATGTGTGTTGCAATTAACATACGTGACTTTGAAACGAAGGGTTTTCATTCTTTACTATACTCGTTTGTCATGCATGTTGGTCTACATTGAGCAACGCTGAAGAGCCTTCAGAATATTGATTTCGGCTTTTCTTGCAGGTCACTCCAATCAAGTAACTAACCAGTTGCTTTGGTAACTTTCTTTAAATGATCATTGTTGGTCAGACAGCCCAAATGTGGGCCAATGCGTTCCTCTACATAACGACTTCCAATTTATCTTTGATCTCCAATTCTTTTCATGAATTGCAAGAATATTAAGACTCCGTCGAATCAGCCCATCTCGACCGCAGCCTTCCTCGCTTTCTCGTTCCAGTGGGTCTAAAAAGCAATATCTTTTTTATTGTATTATCATCACGCATTCGATTCACGTGAGTCATCCAACTCATTCTATTAATTTTTTATTTATTTAATATTATCGGGTTGTTTATAAATCTTGTACAGTTCAAAGTTAAATCTCTGTCTCCAGTTATTGTTTTCATTTACACCACCAAATATACTTCGCAAAATCTTTGGATTATTAGTGGATTACATTAATTTCGAAGGTTCGCTGTAAAAGATTACGCTTGTAAATTTTATAATTTAAGCTCCCATACTTCCTTCAACCATCTTTGCCCTTCACCCACACTTCTGATTTTGACTCATCCTTTTCAACAGACAGAAAAAAGAGATAGAATTGGATGAATGACAGAACAGCTAATAAACTCTCTTTTTTAGAAGACTGAAATAACTCGGAAAAAGTTTCTGCGAGCTTTGTAGACAAAAAAATAATTTTGATTCGTTAGAAAAATGTACAAAGCAGGATATTCTTAAAGAAAGGTAATGTAAAATCAGTTATAATTTAACATTATCGACACATGAAATTTTAATGAACCAGCAGAAACTGAGGTGAAACGAGCGTATGTAGCAGATTACGTAAAACTGGGGTTCCACTGTATTTATTTTTCCTAGTAATTCTTACTATTCAGCTGTTGGCTTAGTTATGATCACTGAAAGATGGCTCCAGTCAGTGAACAAAAGCTGTCCATCAATAGCTATAATTTTAAACAAAGCTATCTCAGAGTGATTGCAATTGAATCAGGGGTCTGTCTAGGTTTTTCTGAGAGGTACCTATTTTGTGAAAATTTAGACATAATTTGTGAAAAATTATATTAAAAAATCAATACAAATCTATGGTCAAAATATGGTTTCTTAAGGAATACAAAAATAAAATTTTAAGAAAAAGTTTTCCTAAAGTTGAATTTGTGAAGATACCGCTAAATGGTAGTAAATTCAGCCTGGACAGACGCCTGTGAATGTGCTAAACAGTGCAAACCCCGTGGAAGAACAGCAACACGGTTATATTCCTGCTAAATATTAGAGTTCTTGCAGAAAGAATTTTTTTTTTCTAAAGAAATTTACATGTAAACTTTTAATCATGTACCTAGATAATCAGTTTTTGGCATGCTGAATTTACGCCGATAGATCGTAAATCAATTTAATGTTTCAATTGTATTTTCGCAGTTATTGAGATCAATTTTCATGTGTTTTTTAAATATCCTGATACATTTCAAACAATATAGAAAATTTGAATCGCGTAATTGAGTATTTACATTTTAAGGCAATGACTTTGTAGATTTTTTTGGCTATTATTGCTATTGATTTCTCAATAGTTTTTAAATCCGATATTATTTATTACAACAACTTAATTTCAAAACAAAACACGCATTTGAGTAACCCTTTTTTTAGGAGTCCGTTTTGCGCATTTCGCCGTCAATCTTTTTTTTCAGCAATTACTACAATGGATTTCATGATTTTTAATTTTATTGTGATGATTATTTACAAAATGCGGAGAAAATAATTAGTGCGATCCCCCCCCCCAACAAAATACGAGAATATCACCTATATTATTAGAATAAAAAATTTTTACAATTAAAAAAAATTATACATAGTTTATTGTTGTAAACACAACACTTTCGTTAGTTTAAATTAGTAACACATATGTTTGCTGTTATTGAAAGTATCTTGCAGAAAGACATAGCTTAACCCTTTTTAGGGCCGTGGTAATACCACAACTTTTTTACCACTTTTAATTTAGGTTTCCATTTGTTAATAACTTCAGTTCTTGAAGTGCGTTTGAATAAAATTGGTAACCATTTTTTAGTTTAAAAAAAAGGTCGAAAAAGTTAAAAAAAACACATAATTCCTTTTGAACTTTGTAGCATTCATAAAATTTATTTAATAAATAACGAAAAATAAAAGTCAATGAGTTCCTAATAGGTCGTGTTAATATACTTACCACCGAAAAGAAATTGCATTAAAATTTAGATTAATTTTTNAACACATAATTCCTTTTGAAATTTGTAGCATTCATAAAATTTATTTTATAAATAACGAAAAATAAAAGTCAATGAGTTCCTAATAGGTCATGTTAATATACTTACCACCAAAAAGAAAAATGGCATTAAAATTTAGACTAATTTTTTATTAGCTAAATTAGTTTTTTTTACTTATATGAATTACTATTCTTATATCAATTCCAAAAATACTTTAGTTTAGCTTTACTAGAAATAAATGGCCCACTAAAGGGTTAAAAGAAGAGAGTTTTGTAAGAGATAGCTTGAAAAAATTCTGCCACAGGGGCACTGAAGAACAACAATTGACAGCTCTATTTAATTCTCAGATAATTTACATAATGTCCATGCCAGCAAATCTTGAGCAAAACATAAATCATTATGATTAAAAACATTTTGATAAAAATATATGCCAATCCCAAAACATAACATAAAAAGACACCATATAACCAGGGATGAGAGTAGCCAGAAAGTAAAAAAGAGGAAATCCAAGAATATATATATTGAGAGAATATAAATCCCGATATGAGGCTATTAAATCACGTGATTATGAAACTCAATATCGAATTTAAAAAATTCGAAAATACAAATCATGATGCGTAATTTTTAGATCACGTAAATACGAATCACGATGCATAAGTTTTAAATCGTGCGAATATGAATCCCAATGTTTAATATTCAAAGCACGTATAAATACGAAATATTTATATTTTTAAAAAAAAAACGAAACTTTTAGACAATCAGAGTTCTTGATACAAAGGCTGACATTCGAGAGATGATTTTTAGAGAAACTTCAGAGGAAGGAATGAGGACTTCAATACTTTCGCACCGCGGAAAATGAAATTCCTCATAAAATATTTTAACTTGTGCAAAAAGAAATTTCTGCGGAAATTAGCGGGGAAAATGGAAAAATCTGAATAAAAGCGGAAATCGGCGAAAGAATCACATCCCTGTATAACACAGCATTCGATAACCAAACTCTCTATTGGCAAATCGCAGGTTTACCAAAACAGGTGTAAATAAAACCACAAATGTAAATAAACATGGCTAGTAACGTCCGATGAGTGGAAAAAATTTTATCGTCAATTGATAGTACGGTTAGTTATTGAATATCATTACAAGTATTGAATACCATTGAAATTCGATCAACCATTTCTCAGATTGTTGGGAGGGGTTGTCAACTCTGTTTAATGTAGAACGCAGTGTTGGTATTAACACTTAAATACATACCTCTATCTACCATAAATGACGGATTGAATAGATGAATGTAGGAAGGAAATAAACAAATTAACTTTATTGTAAAAATAAAATGCATATTGTCAATTTCTATTAAACACAAAAAATTTTTAATTCATCTCATTCTTTACATTAACAAGGTGTCTCCATTTTACATTTTTGCCAAACATATTTTCCACATAAGTTATATTCCACAAAAATAAAAGATCTTTCAAATAAATTTGGAAAGAATGCATCTTATTTCTTTGGAGATAAACTCAAATTAGTTACTCTCTATTGTACACATTCTTATATGCTTCATAACATGGTGGTCAACAAAAAAGTAGTACAAAAAAGTAGTCTTCATAATATGACTTTTTTGCATGTTCTGTTGGCATAAATATAATTCCATGCCAGNTTTTTTTTAAAAAAAAAAAAAAAGCCCAATATTACATTAAATATTTTTTTAAATAAATTTATTCTATTGTAGGAAAGTATGCATTTCCCCCCCGACAAATAGTGATTGATTATCACACAAACACCGATCATTTGAATCACCAAGAAAACTAAAAAAGGCAACCAAAATCTATTTTTCTGCGTTCCAATGAGAATTTCAGGTACTTGGGCACTGAAAGATGTTTTAATAACTGCTTAGTTTAACAAAATAATTTATACTTTTTGAATATTTTTGATACCTTTATGTTTATTTAAAATAATTATTTTATTATTAAGGATTACAGCTGGTTAGCATCTAAATTTTTTTCTTTATGCATAGTTTAAAAATGGTTTGAGTTCTTGGGGGTAATCAAAATGCATTTGCTTAAATTATTGTATCATATCTTAAAAATGATTTATTTTCAGTAAGTTCGTTTTTAAACATTATGGCATGTCATTAAGACACACCCGTAACCATCTATCATCTATGCGTATGGTATGTTTAGTATTAAACATACCTCTGATTCCTATTTTCTGACGAAGTGTTCCAAAATGAATTCCAAAGAGTTTCCACATCAGAAAATTGAAAGTTAATAACAGCTTCTAGAATAAACTGCAAAAGAAAAGGTTACATTTATATTCTTTCAAAAGATTTGTATAGTAGCGCTTTCATTGTAAGCAGGACCGAACTGGCCGGTAGGCAGACCGAGCAAATGCCCGGTGGGCCGAGCCAGCAGCGAAATGTTTTTTTTATATACATTGCACGAATTTCAAATAAGCGCAAATAATAAGAATATTAAATAACATACATATGATATATGTAGTAATAATATTGTTTTAATATACAGAGTGATTCAGATCATGCGCGCCACCCATTTTTTTCGAGAATGGAGCAAATAATTGATTTGAAATAAAAAACATAATAACTAAATCGACCCCAAGGAATTCAATAGTGATATTGTTAATTCCCGGAAGTACCAGAATTTGAACACAGTTTTGATTTTTTAAATGGAAACCTATATCTTATTTGGCATCATTGGAGAGGGTTTTCGAAAAAAAGTAACTTTGTCTTGAAATTTTTTTTATATCTCTTACTGTTCTCAAGATAATAGATATGAAAAAATTCTAATTATTTACTTCAATTTATCATTTTTATCAAAAATAATTCCCTTAAATTATCAAAATCGCCTCAATTTTTATAAAACATTGGAAGAAAAGCACAAATGTGTTTTAATGAAAGTAAAAGACATTATGACGGAAAATTTTTTTTTAGTGAATATGTCAATATCTATTTAATAAGTATTTTTTCTTATCTATGATAATAGATAAGAGATTCAATATATTGAAAATAGTAGAAGATATTAAAAAATATTTTAAGTAAAAGTTATTTCTTTTCAAAAACTCTCTCCAATGATGACAAATAAGATATAGGTTTCTATTTAAAAAATATATGAAATATCGTGTATATGAAAGACTTCTCGCTGTTGTAGAGTGTAAATCTTTAACTGGTCAGAATGTGTTTTCTTTAGTGGACTTAGTTTTAAAGTCTTGTAATATAGATATAACAAAGTGTATCGGTAATTCAACTGTCGGGGCTGCGAATATGCAAGATGAATATAAAGGATTTTCTTCATGGCTTTCCAAAGAGTCCCCTGGTCAAATTCATGTTTGGTGTTATGCACATGTCTTAAATTTAGTTTTAGAAGATATCACAAAAGCACTAATTGAAAGTGCATCATTTTTCAGCCTTCTAAATATCGTTGCAGCATTTTTCCGGGAATCATACCAACGCATGAACATCTGGGAACAAAGTAATGAGCACGGAAATAAAATAAAAAGACTCGCAACTATTGGAGAAACACGCTGGTGGTCCAAAGATTCTGCATTAAAGAAAATTTTTGGCTAATTTTCAAAATCAGATTCAACTATTAAGCCGTTATATGTCACATTGGTTACAAGTTTAGAAACTATACAACAAAATTCAAATTTCAAGCCAGATATCCGTGCAAAGGCAAAAATATTTTTAGAATCATTTTGCAAATATAAAACAGTAATCACTGCCAAAATATTCTCAAGAATATTTGAATTAACTACACCGCTCTCCCAATATTTGCAAACCTCTGGTTTAAACTTCTTAGAAGCTTTTGGAATGGTATCACAAACGTGTTCAGAACTAAAAAAATTGTGAGAGATTTTGAAGGTGTACAAAAAGTTACAAATGATTTCATTGTTCGCGCAAATAAGAACTTGAAGAAATTGAAATTCAGACAAAGTTTCCATAAAAAAGATTGAAGAAAAGAAAATTAATGCCGGGTGAGACAGAGTCGAATGAAACAATTTTTGATGATGAAACCACTGCATTTAAGATAAACGTTCATAACATTATTTTCAGCACAGTTGTAGCGTCAATGGAACGCCTATTTCCGGCAAATGGAAAATTGTATGCCGATTTTTCCTATCTAGATCCGAAACGTTTCCCTGAAAAACGTGTTAACAAGCTTCAATCTGGCAAACTAAATGAGTTAAGCAAACTCTTGCTAAAATTTGACGAAACAGCTATAGGTGAAAATTTGCGGATTGAACTAAGAAGTTTAGCTTTTATTGGGAAAAACTGAAAAATTCAGACTTAGAAGATTATAAAATAATCACGGAAGATCATTCAAATTAAGATAATAACGACTTTACTTTGGAAACAGAAGAAGAAGTGTAAAATGTGAGACACGCTATGCGTGCAAAAATTATGTTATTTGTTGCTACAAGATGTTACAGAGATTCAATTTATTGACCAATTCTTACAATTTAATTAGTCTAGCATTAAAATTTTTACTAACATTGTCAAAAAGTCAGGTGGCTTGTGAAAGATCATTCTCCACATTAAAAGTAATTAAAAATTGAATGAGGAGTACTTTATCTTCGGATAATTCGAATGCTCTCATGGTAATGGCAATAGAAAAAGATCTATTAATGAAATTAGATAGCGACGACATAATCGATAAAGTGGCAGAAAATAGTGAGTCTCTTCAAAAGTTCAATTAAAATTTAATTTAATGACTTTTGAAGAAGCATTAAATACATTTAAACAAAAATGTTTAGATAAATCATTCATGTATGTGTAGTATAATAAATACTTTTATTTACTCTTCATCTTTCACCTTCTTTTTGATTTTATCAACCTATGTTTCCTCATAAGAACCATGTATTTTAAACTGAAATATATTCTATAAACGATTATTAAGCAATTTTTATCTACTTTCTTACTTCGATAAATTAACTTACGTTCATGAGAATTTATAAGTAAAATATGCCTAAAAATGATACATTAGGAGCCGCGTATGCGGTGTTTATCTGAAGTAGAAGGCCGATATCTCTAAAATTCCCGGGCCTATTTTAGATCCCAGTCCGGACCTGAATGTAAGGATCAACACATAATGAGAAATGAAATATTATTTTGAAACAGAATGTGTTTGAAAAGAAGACACAAATTTATAAACAATATCCATGAGTGCTTTTATTCAATATATATTTTTGCAGATTTGATGCCAAAAGCTAGGATATTGATAACCTAGAATTTCTTTAAAAATCATACAAAATGAGAGAAAAAAAATATCTTAAATGTTTTCAAAAACATGTTTCATTTATATGTTTTTTTTTAATGAAAAAAAAAATCATATATCATAGCTTGTATCCAGATTTAGACGGACAGCCTCATTGGCAGGGCGCTCTACCCACGTTTGTGAGAATGGGAGTTTGCCGAAGACTCCTCACGTAGTAAATGGTAACCTATGCACGTTAAACCTGTCCGGTCACCAAGTCCTCCATGTTCCCATAACAGATTATATCTCTGTGGGTACTGCATAGGAAATTTATCGTTCTCTGGTTCAGGTCAACATTATGATCTGTGGATGTATGAAAGGGTCTGCCCTATTAACAGATGCAATGTATGGTTGAGGCATAATTCTTGGCTATAAATGGTGCTACTGGAAAAGAAGAACAATCGCACCCCCTCTGCCTTAATGGCCAATGGCAAAAACAGCACTCATAGATTTAATAAAACAAATTTCATAAAAAAATAAGTATGTAATTTATAAATAAAATAAAATGTAAATAAATACCTAATAAAGATAGAATTCATCAATTTTTAATTACATCAGAATTGCATTGTATTATGCAACATTTTCTAAAAATCTTCAAATTAAAACATTGTTTAAAAGCAAATTCTTCATATTTTGAAAAACTCAGTTTGATATCAATGGTTGTTATTGGAGCATGTTTAAGATTCGATGCAAAAATTATAATTATTTACACGAATGGAAAAAAAAAAAGTTTGAATGTTTTTTTGGAGGACACTTTTTTTTGAAAAATTGTCAAAATATTATTAAGGAGAATATTATCAACTTTTTAATAAAATATATTAATGCACAATTTTTTATTTAAATTGTAAGAATATAAATTTTAGTGTGTGATTTTTAAATTGCGTTAATACGAATGGGCGATCTGTAATTTTAAATATCATGAGAACAGAACAATTATAAAACTGCACGAATAAGTATGGTAATGTGTAAAAAGCATGAAATCAAATCGTGAAGTGTAAACGATGCACAATTTTTTTTTTTAAATTGTGTGAATACGAATCTTGATGTAATATTTTTAAATCGCACGAATAATTTTAAATCAGGTTTAAAAGCAAAAGATTTTTTTTTTGGTGGGGGGGGGGAGGATAGAACTCAAAGAAGCAGAACTTTCTTTGAAAAAGGGAAAATTCTCTTTTTTTTAAATTGAAAAGAAGAAAAAAAATACAAAATGAGCCTAAAAACGGAAAAAAAACTCATCCCTGTATTTGTTAAGAAAAATTCATTACCCCCCAGAATGCACTGAAAATTAAGAAGAAAAAATTTATAAAAAAATTATTCAGAAAGGCAATAAAAATCTATAGACTGACAAAATGAAGAGAAAAAAAAGTAATACAGACAAAAAATGCATAAATCATCAACCTCATAATAATAACTAAAATATTGACTTACTTCACAATGTCTCTTATATGCATTTTTGAAAATACATATTTTATCTAGAGTCACTCCATGAGGTAACACAGATATTTCTATTTCTACATCTGGAATGGCTGTAGATGCATCACCCAGGTAAAGCTCATGTTTGGATGAGCGCTTTTTATCAGACACTTCAGGTTGGAAAAGGCGCTTTCCATTACATTCAGTCTTTGCATCAGACTTTAATCTACGAAATGCAAAAACCCTGATTTAAATCGCATTTAAATTAATCAATCTACTTAAATCAGATTTTTTTTACATTTAAAAAACAAAGGTAAAAAAATTTATTAATTATACTATTTATTTAATTACATAATAGCTAAAATATTAAATAGTGGTTAAAATTATTATTTAGTTATAACAAGATAATCATTGGATAAATAAAATCGTAATTATTTTTGCTCAAGTTTCAATGAATTTTAAAGAAAACAATGACATTTATTAATTAGATAACAAATGAAGAGCAAATTAGTTTGAATAGGAAAATTAAGTTTCATGCTCGCTACTTTTATCCATATTTAGTCTCTTTTTTGTTCTTAGTGTATTTTGAAATAGAATAATATATACCCGTCCTTTCATTATTATTTCTTTGTACAAAACCTTTATTATTAATGAAATCAAAGTTTTAAAAAAAATCATACCCTGAATAAAGAATGTCTTATTTATATTATTTAAAAAATGTTTCAGACTTGATAATTTTTTGAAAAAAAAAATCAGTTAGTTTGAATTGATATTTAAAAAAAAAAAAATTCAGTTGATTCAATTTATGCCAATTTTTTTCTATTTTACAATTGTCGTTGAACAACCGACCCAATTTTGGATTTACGGCTACTAATGTTCAATGCCATAGCCTTGTAATTTTGAACCAGAATCAGAAGACAAGGGAACTCCTGGATCAAGTATCAAGTGTTGGGAGAAATTTGTCTTTGTGGAGAACTTTTAGAGGGCCCACATTTGCATTACATGAAGAGGAAAACCTACCCCGGTTAGCCCAAACAGCGAGGGGACACTAAAATCCATCTACCACTGAGGATATTTTACTGTGGTCGGTGCAAGTCGGGTTTGAATTCGTATCGACCAACCATCTTTGGGATCCGGCTCACCTCGTTGATAAAAGGTTTTACTATAGATATGAATTAAAACAACTGACCTGCGCATCTGTGTGAAAGAATTATGCCTGTAAGTAGTGTTGCCAATGTCTTCCATTGCTTTGTTAATAGATGAAGTAGGCTTCAATCGTATTCCGTAATAATGATACTTAGAATTACCCCTGGAATAAATATACAACAACAGATAAGAGACTAAAATATACTTCACAGCAGGTCAAAATCCAAATAGCTATAGTTTCCTCATATTAATACAAAAAGACGACATTATATTTTGAAGAAACATTTTGTAGCGATTTAAAAATAAAATGGATTAATTTTAATCATAGATAATATAATTTACTCAAGATGCCAATTAAAGTAGTATTTCTTATTTACATTACTGCCAGAGACTGTGGAACCGGGATATTTTATGAGACCCTTTTAAGATAATAATTTTTCACTCAATATTTGAGTAACAAAATTTACAATTAAAAATAATTTTATTTTAAAAAATAAATATCTCTATTTCGCTTTCACAGTTTCTGGGTGAACCAAATCATCCCACCTAAAGAGGAAATGTAAGTCCCCATTAATGATCAATGGGAAGATTTTGGGTATAAAATATCACAGCTAACAGAATATCAGTTAAAAAACAGTGAAACAGAATAGAAAAAAAAACCATTGAAGGGAAAAGCAATAATTTACAGGTTGCTTAAATTTTATTTTAATTTTAAAACAATTGGAATTATGAAGTTAGAATTGCAAATTCAAATTCTTGATTACCATTTTGCAAGGTTCAGATAATTTGGACCCGGTTTACACTTATATATATATATATATGCACAAGGTATCTGCTACATTTTAGATTTTCAAATCAATGACTTTTCATGACTCATTCCAAGAATTTTTCGTGACTTAACGAAGGCACTATTTTCTCCAACAATAAATTTAAAAAAGCATTATAATAACATGAATTGAAATGATAGGTATAACCAAAACTGTTACGCACTGCATCTTCATATTTATAGATTTTAAATTTAAAAAACAGAGTCAAGAAAGAGTTGAAGAGCAATAAAATACAGAAACAAATAATTTCTTCTTCTTTTTTTCTGCAGAATTATATTATTCTAAAGATACTTTTCTCGTTCATCGGAAAGGAAAGAAATACTCCTGACTTTTCTGTTCTCATTTCGGAATAAAAAAAATTTATAAAATAAAAAACATAAATAACAACAAAAATTCTGAAATCACACAAGTTTAAAAGATAATTCGCTCTAGAAATGACGTGACAAAAAAGAAATGAAATATTTCATTTTTTGAAAGAACACCATAATTTTTAAAGAACACAATAAAAACATTTAATATTTTAATCAAATATGACTGTGAGTGGGGATTTTGTTACAAATTCAGATATTCCAAATACCATGAAATTGGGGAGGGGGTTAAATTCCATTTTAAAAATCAGATTTTATGACGCCCTAAATCCATGATTTTTCTTTAGTTAAAATCATGAAAAATTTTGTTCAGTACCAAAATTCATGACTCTCCAGGTGAGCAGATACCCTGATTATATACAGAGAGTCACAAAATGCTTCTGTGACTGACTATTGCAGATAATATTAATTAATAAGATCATATTTTAATAGACAAATATTTTGCAAAGTTTAGTCCTTCTGTAGAAGAAACAAAAATAACTAATTCAAAATATTCACCTTGTGCCAAGTCTTCTAGTTCTGAGACCATTAAACACCATTCTTATCAGTTTACCAAAAGATGCTGCATTCAGTGGCTCCATCTTCTGTTCTCGACAGTATTTAAAATATTGAGTGTACATAGTACTCCGAGGTACACTCATCCCATCAGACATTTCATAATTGTCAATTAACCATCTCATCTAAAAATAAAAATTAGTTTTCTGACATTAATATATCACATATTATACACAATTTTATTGTTCACAGAATCTTCTATCGAGTAAATCTAAATCAAATGCTGTTTTCGTGTTGAGAAAGAGTTAATTAAGTTGTTTTATTGCAAAATCCACGTTTTGGGAGATTTTTAACATGACTGGCACATTCTTTCCTGCATAAAAGAAATTTTTTTTTTTTTGTCCTAAGGTGTATCGTAATAAAAGGCTCATTATTTTTTAGTAAAAATTATCTGAATACATTATTGCTGACTCTTAAAGAACACTTCTTATTCATGATTACAGCCCTAGGAAATTTTATTTGAAAAAAGAAATGTCAAACTTTTTGAATTGTTCATTTATAACTGTTGCAGAAATTAATGGCACCAAAATTGAATTGGAAGAAAGAAAATCTGCTGCATAGTAAAATGTACGTATAAGTAGAATGAAATTTATCTGGAAAATCCAATGAACACTATTTTTAACAATAATTACTTTCAAGTCCACTTTGAATCAATCAAATATGGCTACAGTAAATGTAATAGCAGAAATGTAATCCTGAAATATCCCACAGAATGGTCACCACTTTTTAAAAGACGAAAATGAGAAAAAATTCTTTGTACTTTCCCAGTTCCTAAAGGAAAAAATTGAAATTCCCTGCATTTCCTCTGTTATTTTTAAATTCCCTGTATTTCCCAAGTTTTTTCTATTCTCTCTGCGGAGTGGCAACCCTGTAATAAAAACATGTCCCAGTAGTTATATTTAACAACTTTAATCGAAAGAACAGAAGAGGCATAAAGGTACACCTTTGTCATAGCGTCTAAATATTTTTCTTAAATTTTCAAATATTTGCAACTACCTATCCTTTTCATTTGAATAGCACAAATATGAATCTCACAAACAAAATTTTTGCACTATTTTCACTTTTGATAGCATGCTTAACATTTCTTATTATGATTTATTTGTACAAAATCAGAAAAAGAAATTTTATTATACAATCAAATGAAAACCTTCACTTGGAAAATTACACAACCGTTTATCAGAAGGTTCAGTTAGCAGTCTAAAAGTAGTTTGGTGGAAAAGAGAAAGAAGAAATAGCGTACTTTGCTTTTATTTAGAGTTTGAAGCAAATCATTTAAATTCTTTATTTATTGCTTTTGCGCTGGACTCGCATTTGTGAGAACAGGAGTTCGAATCAGCTGGCAGAAGACAGCCCGTGTACTAAATGGTGACTTGTGCACGTTAAACCAGTTGGGTCACTAAGTCCTCCATGTTCCCATAACAAATTATTCCTCTGGGGGTATTGAATTGACCATGGATCGTTTTCTGATTCAGGTCAAAATGTGGACGTATGATTGGGTCCGCCCTATAAATGGGTGTAGCAGAAGTCGAATTCTTGGCCGCAGATGGTGTCACTGGAAAATTAGAACAATCGCACTCCTTGCCTTAATAACAACAGCATTTATTGCTTTAACTAGAAAATTCTCGGTAGTTAAGAAAGAAAACAGATAATTATAAACCATAATATTATAAACGTACGACAACATTTGCTTTAACTTGAAAATTCTCGGTAGTTACGAAAGAAAACAGATAATTATAAACCATAATATTATAAACGTACGACAATGAAAATTGTTGGTAGTTAAGAAGGATAAACTTATGCTTACAGATGCTGCAGATAAACGAGAACTTGGATAACAAGACATGTTATTTTCTGACTCAGTAACATTTCCATCTACATGAAAAACATCCTCCTGATCTTCACTAAAGGACTGAGGGTCTTCACAAATATTAACCTAGAGAATCAATTAATAGTAAACATACACATTCTATTTTAAAATATTTTTATTATAATATACCAGATTGTTCATTTTTTAACAATTTTATATAAATACATATCACAAAAGAATCCGTTCATATATGTGTGTGNTCCATGTGTAATTTCTTGAGTTATCGCGATTTTTGTGAATTTTCCTTAATTTATGATAACCAGTGTATATATATATATATATTGTTAACCGGGTACAAGTAATCTGAACCTTACAAATCAAGAACTTGCATCTTTAACTTCATGGTTCAAATTGTTTAAGAATTAATAAATGAAATTGTTTATCTGTAAATTATTTACCTCTCATTTTTTTTAACTTTTTATTCTGTTTGCTGTGAAATTTGAAACCAAGAATTTTCCTCAGGGGTCAGCAGTAAGACTGTATATTCCTTCTGCGGGGAATGCTTATTTTTTTTAAAAAAAAGCTGTATACTTTAATAAATTCAGTCCATAAAAAGAATAAATCAGTGCTTAAAAATTAAATTTGAAAGTATAATAATTCATTTATTTGCTATCGAGATAAATATCTCCTTTTTGTCATGAGTGAGATAGCTGCTCTATGAAATTAAAATTGAATTTTCATAAATTACTCTAATAATTCCTATTACAGTGCTCGCCGTTTATTAAAATCACTTTCGTTTAATGCTCTTTTGATTGATTTTATTAAGAGGCGATTCAACATCCGAAGGAAAAAAAATCAAATTTTTACGATACATTCTAAATGCACACACTTTAAAAGCTGAAATAATGACAACGTTAATGCTTTATTTTAACTAATTTAATTATTTTAATAAAGTAAAACCCTACATAAGATTAAATTTACAAAATTTTTGCAAAAAACAGATCAATGGTTGCTTGAGTTGCAGTATTTAAAATTAACTTTTCAACATCATTTGAGAGTTTATAGAAGTTTTTATAGATTTCGATATTTCCTCCTCTTTGTTCTAAAGCTTGCCACAATACATTAAGTGCTTTTCTGACTTCCATTGAAGATGGCACTGATGAGTTTATTTTATCTTCTGAGTCTGATTCCTCCATTTCTTGATTGGAAATAACTTTGCAATTTTTGATGTCTGTAACAATTTCAGAATCAGATTTTTCTCCTGATGTTTGCAGGTTATCGTCAATAGCTACGCAACGTGAAAAATTCTCATCCATTTCATTTTCTTCATTGCTGAGCATTTCGTCGAAACAGTTATCAGCTCCATCGCCAGTGCTCAATCCACACTTTTTAAAGCAATTTGATATTGTTTGGGTTGAAACAATGTCCCATGAGTTACGAATCAAATGCATCGAGTCCAAAATAGTAAGGGATTTCAATAGTTTGTTTGCAGTTAAAGAGTTCCGAAGAGCTGTCACAGTCGATGTCACTAATGATTTTTTGAACAACCATTTTTCTGCAATGAAACTTGAATGATCTTATAATTCCCTGATCAAGGGGTTGAATAATGGCTGTAGTGTTGGGTGGCAAAAACACTAATTTAATATTTTTCAAATGCAAGTCCTCATCAGCAGGGTGCGCAGAACAATTGTCTAAAAGTAAGACAACCTGTTCATTTTTCAGCTCCTTGTCCCATTCTAGAAGAAATTTTGTGAAGATGCTGGATGTCATGCATGCCTTATAGCTGTTGGCATAACTGGTGGGCAGGTGTTTTACTTCTTTAAAACATTGAGGTTTTAAACTCTTTCCTATCACTAAAGGTTTTTTTTTTCTCACAGTTCTTGTCATGTTGCATGTTAGCAGCAAGGTTAGTCTTTCCTTTATTTTTCTTACATCCACCATTCGATTCATTTTTAAACAGCAGTGTTTAGGAAGTGCTCGGAAAAATAATCCTGTTTCATCTGTGTTGAAAATTTGCTCTGGTTTATAGTCTTTGATGAGTGTTGGCCACACGTCGTTTACCCAATCGGCGACAGAGCTAAAATCAGCATCTTGCTTTTCACCATGCAATTTACGATAGACAATGTTGTTGCGGTCTTTCCATCGGGTTAGCTTTAAAATCAGAATCACCAAATAAGTTAGCAAAGTCCTGTGCTTTGTGAAATAAAATTCCACGGGAAATTAGAATTCTTCGTTCGCATGCATTTTTGAACCATTCTAGCAGAACCATTTCAATTTCCTCCGTTTTTCCTTCACGCTTACGCTTTCTTGACAGATTTCCATTCTTTTTTATTTCCTCGGAAATATTTATCTTTTGTTTCAGAATGTTGAAAAGAGCAGTTTGGGAAATCCCTAATTTAATTGAAGCTTCACATTGACTACATTTAGGAAGCTTATCATAGTTTTGCAACACTTCGAATGTATCTTTAAGAGTCAAATCCTTCCTTTTCGGCATGCTGATAAAGTTTAACACCAAACGAACTTAAAAATGATATGTGCTCTAACTCTAATTTACTCCAAGGGCTTAAATAATATGGAACATGGGCGCAGACAGTTTTTGGAAATCTATTCATGTTCTCTGTTAAGATAGATAACAAAAGAAACTTCTCTCCCTTCTATGGTTCATTCTATAAAAAGTAAGATAAGAATTCGACCCCCTGTTGAGTGAGATAGGTTTCTCCAGACTTCATTCAAGTCAAGGAATTGACATTGATAAATTGATTTCTATGAACTCCCTGCTTACCACCCACATTTTTCCTTAACTCTTACACTATGTATATCACAGGAAAGTGCTAACCACACCTGTTTCACAGGTTTGTGAGTAACTGTTGCTTCTTCTAAAAAAATCTTTAAACTTCGAAAAAATAAAATTTTATAAATAAGAACAAAAAAAGCTGAAATATTGCACCTTTGATTTATTA